TTCAGGCCAGGAGTTTGAGGACAGCCTGGGCAACATGGCAAAACCCTATCTCTGAAATAAAATGAAAAAGTTAGCCAGGCATGGTGCACAGGCCTGCAGTCCCAGCTACTCTGGCAGCTGAGGTGGGAGGATCTCCTTAGCCTTGAAGTTTAGGGTGAGCATTTCAGCCTGCTGAGACCCTGTTTCAAAAAAATGAAGAGGTAGGGGCTTCATCTTTTATCTTCTTAGATAAAGCCCTGGCCTCTTTGGCCTCCCTATTCTCTGTCTCCTTTCCTGAGAAGCCCCCCAGCCCTGTCTCTCACCTTAGTAAAGGAAGCTAATTTTTTTTGCCCCATAGGATGGATACTTATTTGTCTCATTAGTATCTGTCTGCATTCTTGGTTGTTGAGAAGTGTCTGGGCTCCTGGTCCTGCTGGTCCCTACACGGAACTTTCTGGGCTAAACCCAGGGTGAGTTGGCCACCCTGGCTGTGTCAGCTCTGCATTTGTCCAGCTGGTCTTTCTGTTACCTGCATCCCAGTGAATGTGGGGAGCATGGTCCTCCCTCTGAATGTTGACGGCAAGGACACGTCTGGAGACAGACACACTGGCTGCAGCCTTGGGCAAGTCCCTTCCTCATCTACAAAATGACTGATGCTGTGGCCAGGACGATAACTCACACACGCTGTTGCCCCATCTGGATGTTTCTGACAAGTGCCTGGGTGCTGCCAATGCTGTGGGTCCTGGGGCTGCACTTTGAGAAGCACCTGTCCAGGACACCTGGCAGATCAAGCAGCCTCCCTCACTGTGGCCGTGGGGTCATTAGGACCCTGATACCATCTCAATTTTCCATTACTTAAGTTACCTAGACTTGTCCTCCTCCGTAATCCAAATATGTTACATGTTATAGTCTCCCATGTTGCTGCTTTTTCTTGAGAGCCAAGCAAGCCAAGAATTGTTCTGCTTGTAGCTTATGAACCTCCCCGCTCCATGGGCCAGCTATAGCATTCATTACTTCCCCAGACACTTGTTGAGTGCCCATGAAAAGCCACACAGCTGCATTCTAGGGAGGTCATGATCCGGGTGGAAAGTTCAGGCAGGAAGCCCTTGAATAAGTTGTTTCTGATTGCAGCAGATTCTGGGAAGAAACCAAGGAGCCAGGTAGCAAGTACAGGGCTCCTGGTTGGGCAGGTGGTTGAGGAAGGTGCTCTGGGAGATGTTGGGTGGAGGGGGCTATGGGAGGAAGGCTCCCACCTGGAAATGCCTTCCACGTGGGGCTGCCTCGAGTGCAGAGAGGGGCTGCACGTGGTGTGTTTGGGGAACAGAGGGACCCAGATCACACTCAGGGCCTACCATGGGCAGTCTCTGTGCAGTAAAACCATTAGAAGCTTCCAAGCAGGACAGCCACATGAGGTTTTTGCTTCCTGAGGTCCTTCTGTCTGGTGTCTGGAGGAAAGACAGTGGGGACAGAGAAGGAACAGGGAGACCAGTGGAAATCCTGTTGCCTTGGCATGACCAGCAAGGAGGGTGGTCTGGACGGGGAAAGTGGCCCTGAATGTGGCAAGGCATGGACAGATTTAGGTGCATTTTGAAGCTGAGCTAGTAGGACCCTCCAATGAATTATTTTAGGAAGTGAGGGAGAAAGGACTGAGGGAAGAGTGCTTGGTTTTCAGCCTGAGCTGAGCAGATGGCCAGAGAGGCACAGATCACGTTTATTAGACATCGAAGGGGATGTGAAGGAGTGTCAGAGGTAAGAGTAGGAGAGTCACTGCATGCAGATACTCACAGGCAAAAGGAACTTGCAGCAAGGGGGAAGTTGGCCAAAGGAGGAGAGGACTGGGCCCCAGAGTCCTCAAACTTCAGTGGTCAGTGCCAGAAGTGGGAGGTGTGGAGGAGGGAAGGGTGCCCATGACCTCCCTATAGGCATTGCCCATGAGGAGGCAGCACTGAGGGCTCCAGGCCAGGAGGTGGCTGCCCAGCACTCATCCTTGTACCCCAGCTGGCATCATTTCTCATGTCCTCTTGTAGTGGCACTTTCAGCCTCACCTGGCCCTCATGGGCTCCATCCTTACTGTCTCCTCTTCCTGGGACTTTTCTCCTGCTTGTTCTTGGACACTAGCTTCCTGGCCAGCTGCCTGTCATGCTTGGTGTTCTCTGTTCTGTATCATTTTTTCTTTTCATTGGGTGATTTCGCTCCCCCTTTGCTTTCTGTTTAGAACCAGCTCCACTTCAAACGGGGCCAGGGCAGCGTAGCACTGTGGGAGGCGAAGGTGGGAGGATTGCTTGAGGCTAGGAGTTGGAGGCTGCAGTGAGCTATGATGATGCCACTATAGTCTAGCCTGGGTGACAGAGCAAGAACCTTCTGAAAACAAAACAAATGAGAAAACTTGGCATTTCAGGAGTTTACCTGATATGGTCCTAGCAGACTTGGGTCCCTTCTTGGCTGTCCCCATACTCAGTGTTGTTGCTTTGGCCACATGTAACCTGCCTTCCCTCCCTCAGGCCCTGGGCATTGGCAGGAAGTGGCTACCTCCCCACCACCCCCCAAGTGCACCCACCTGGACTCTAGCTCAGGACAGGGGGTTCTGTGAGGCCAGATAACTGGGACAAGGAAATCAGGGGACAGCCCACTGCCCAGCCCCCCTTCCTTCTTTTTGTCCCTCCCTCCCTGAGTCCCTGGTTCCTTCCTAAATGGATTAGGACCTTTGCCGGAAGGAGCTGGCGGCTGTCTCAGGCAGCCCAAAGGCCAGAGCTGGAGCAAGCCCTGGTGCCTCCTGCTTTGCCCTGATTCAATTTGGGCCTTGGTGGCTGGGAAGCTGGCGGCTGCAGGCCTTTCCGGGAATGGCTCAAGGGATGTGCCGATGATCAGGGGAGGAGCCTTCAAGCCCTCAGGCAGACAGACCTCTCAGCTGGGTCCTTTATGGGGTCTGGTCACACAGCAGACTCAGGTGGGCTTCATGCCATGGAATATCTCTGGCCATGGTCACTGACCGCCTCTTGGTCCATTAGCATGTCCCATCTGTGGCCTGTCATGTCATTAGCATCCCTTAATATCAATATTTTAAACCTTTATAAAATTGCAAGGACTCAGTCTGTGGATAGGACCACGTTGCCTGTCATTCATGCTGGGCTCTGAGGTAGGCCTTGCGGGTGGTGCAGCAGTGGTAGGCAGGGCCAAGTCCCTGCTTGCAGAGAGCTTACAGTTTGTGAGGATAGGCGCAGCAGCAGAAGGTACCCCAGGCTTGGTGCCCTTTGTGGTGCCGGTCCCATAGTCTCTTGCCTGGTATGTGCAGAGACTCCTCATGTGCAGGTGGCAGGCAGGGGGCAAGGTTCACAGGCACCTTTGGATGCCTGCCGTCCTGCTCTCCACTCACACCTCTGAGGGCCTCCAGCACCTGGTAGGGGCTGCCATAGAGCATAAACCCAGAGAGGGAACCAAGGGTCCATGACTGCTCCCTTTCTTGGGTTGGTAAAGGGCAACTACTTCCTGGGGGCAAGCACTGGTAAGAGGGCAGCCACAGGTGACCCCACCCCCCACTGGCCCCTGATTCCCAGGTCAGGGTGGGGAGGGCAAGATCTGAGAGGGGCTGAGCTCTGTATCATAGTGCCCTGGCCAGCAAGCCTTTGTCACACCAGGGGAGCCATGACAGGAGGCCGTGATCCGTAGGAGCCCCAGTAAGGGTGCTATTCTAGCTTTTAGGAGTCCCATTATCATAGGACAAAGTCTTGCCTTGAGGAACCCCCAGTCTGAGATGAAATGGCCTCTGTCCTGCAGTATCTTTCTATATCCCTAAGGGTCAGAGGTGTTGGGACAGTGGCCTTGCCCTTGGGAGCATGTTGCTTGACACATGGAGAAGTTCAAAGGCTGGGAGGTGGGCCAGCCAAGGACTTCCTGTCAGGATAGATAATTAAGAGCTGTGGGCTCGGCGCCTATAGCTCAACCGGCTACACGTATACCTAAGGTGGCGGGTTCGAATCCCCAACCCGGACCCGCCAAACAACAATGACGGCTGCAACCAAAAAATAGCCGGGCGTTGTGGTGGGCACCTGTGGTCCCAGCTGCTTGGGAGGCGGAGGCAGGAGACTCGCTTGAGCCCAGGAGTTGGAGGTTGCTGTGAGCTGTAATGCCATGGCACTCTACCCAGGGTGACAGCTTGAGGCTCTGTCTCAAAAAAAAAAAAAAAAAAAAAAAGAGCTGTGGAGGCCAGACATGGCAGTTCATGCCTGTAATCCCAGTACTTTGGAAGGCTAAGGTGGGAGGATTACTTGAGGCCAGGAGTTTGAGACCATTCTGAGCAGCATACAGAAATTTTTTTAACCTGGTATGTTGGCACACCCTTAGTCCCAGCTACTTAGGAGACTGAAGCAGGAGGATTGCCTCAGCCCAGGAGTTGAATGCTGCCCTCCGGCCTGCGCAGTAGAGCAAGACCGTGTCTCAAAAATACATAAGTGAATGAATGAATGCTCTAGGGCCAATTGGCAGATGACAGTAGAACTGGGAAGGGCACTTGGAAGAGAAACTGAGCCTGCCAGGCTGGGGAGACATAGAGGATGTTGGTATGTCTGGGGGTGGTGAAGCCTAGAGGACTTTGGGAATGGGCAGGGAATTGGGGCAAGGTGTCCAGACCAGGAAATCAAAATACCAGGCTGAGGAGTTAAGAGCTAATGTGGGTAGTAGGGAGCCACAGAGGGTGTGTGAGCAAAGGAGAGCTGTGGCTAGAACTACATGCCTGGGGAGAGTTGGCAGTTGGAGCCTACCCAGCAGATTGGTCCTGGTGCTGGGCTCAGCATGAGGGTACAGACTTGAAGGGATGTGCCACAGGGTGTCAGTTCCTGCCATTTGTGCCCAGGCCTGGCAGGATCTAACTCCATCACTCGTAAAGGCCCTTGGGCCAAGGGAAGGCCAGCCCTTTCTTTGCCCCGTCTGGAAATCCAGGGGCCAGGTGGGCTGGGGGTGGATGACAGCCACATGTGTCATGCCCTGTGTCTTGTGCCCACCATGCTGCCTCTTTCCTCCCTCCAGGCAACCATGGCCTTGCTGGGCAAGCGCTGTGACATCCCTGCCAACGGCTGCGGGCCTGACCGCTGGAACTCTGCCTTCACCCGCAAAGACGAAATTATCACCAGCCTCGTGTCTGCCTTAGATTCCATGGTAAGTGTCCCTGCCCATCTGGGAGGAAGGTGGGACACTCAGCTCTGTAGGGAGACATCAGAACTCAAATTCTACCTCAGCCATTCAGAGATTTCTCTGCCCCGAGCCTCAGGGTTCCCATCTGCAGCTTGGGCCACAGTACCTACACCAAGGGTGGGAGGCTACATAAAATCTAGCCCTGGTATAAATGCTTTCCCCCTCGTCCTTTCCTTTTCCCCTTGTCCCCTTGTCCCTCCATTATTTTTGTCATTCCATCCCGTCCCTGGGATGCACCCCAGGTCTCTCTCCTGGTGGGTTACCTGGGGGATAATGTGTGGGCAGTGATTCCTTACAGAGCTGTAATCTGTGACATTAAAGCCAGAGCTATGACTGTGTCTTGGGCTGGAAGAGAGACGCAGTCCTTTCTAAATCTCTCCTCTGTTATCATTGCCTATGTACCTAGACCTGTAGCAATTTATTCCAAGTGAGGACATGATAATGTGATTTTCCTTCATCCTTTTCTTGGAGGAAAGTTTTATGATGGAGGGTAGGCAAGTATAAAAAAAAATCCAATGGCATCAGTTAGCTGCACCTCTGCATTTTAGGATTGGGCAGTTGAAGCTCAGAGAGGGTAGTACCTTGCTTGAAGTCACATAGCATGACCAGTTTTTAAAGTGGACTTCCAGGTGCAAAGCCTATAGTTCCCTGAGGACAAAAGGCCTCCTTCAGGCTGCTTCTACTGTAGGCACCTCAAGGACTGCTATGGTGGTGCTTGGACTAGTGAGGGGCACCCCTGGGAAAGCTGGCTGGTTGCCACTCTCGCCATAGGCCCCTTTCCCTGTGCAGAGTGGCCAGCACAAGGACAGGCCCAGAAGCCCAGCTGTGTGTCCCAGAGCCCTATAAGCTTGTCGGTGCCACTGTGGGCAGGGATGGCCAATACTGTGGGCACTGGGTACGTATGGCTGTTTGCACTCAAATTCTAATTAGTTGAAATGAAACAAAATAAACAATTCAGTTGTTCATTTGTGCTGGCCTCATTTCAAGTGCTAAGGAGCCAGAGTGGCTGGTGGCTATGGTATTGGACAGGGCAGAAATAAAACATGTCCATTGTCACAGGAAGTTCCACTGGGCAGTGCTGGCCTAGAAGGCGTTAATTAAGTTCTGAGGAGCTGATGACTCTGTGGGTATCCTAGTGGCATAAACAAGATGGTCCGCTCTGTCCCTGAGCCCTTTAAGGGTTTCCTGAGGGACCCTTATGGGTGACAGTGACACTTGGCAGTGACTTAAGTCTGGCATCCTCCAGGGCTCTGGGCCAGGATTCTTGGTGCTCTTTAGGGGGTTGGGCTATAGGGATGCACCAAATTCCCCCGGCCCCTGTGGAAACCCCTTCCTCACACCTCCTCCATCCCTGCTCTCTGCGGACCTTCAGGTGAGTCAATTCCCTGCAGTGGCCGCCATTTCTTCAGCTGAGAAGAAACCTGCCAGGAAAGATCTTTTTCAGCTCTGATGGCCACTCCTTCATTAGAACCACTGAATTTATTTGTTTCATTCTTTGTTAATGTTCTATCCTGTTAGGACAGAAAAGGGAACAGCAGGTTCCTATTTTCATCTTTGAGAGCAGAAAATGAATGCCCCCATGGAGACCCTGGGGGACAGGCCTGCTGGCCCCATGCCATCTCCAGCTTCCTCACCAGAGCAAATCTGGGCTCCGGCTGGCGTGGGAGGCAAAATTATGGCCCAGAGAGTTTGAGGGATCTGTCCTGGGTCATACAGCACACAGCTGTGATTCGATGTCAGACAGTGTAATCGCCAGCTAGTGCTACCCAACTCAGATAAAAGCTAACATTTGTTAGGGGCCTGCTGTGGGCCACATGCTTTCCAGGCAGGATTGTCCTGGAAATACAGGTCAGACCTGAGATGCTAGAAGTCTTGGTTGTGGGGACCTCTGCCTTGGGGTCCCTGCACAGTGGGGCTGCCACCCTCAACTCTGGGACTGTGAACGGCCAGCTTGCCTTATACCCTCATGGGATGTCACAGTTGAGAAATCCTCTCCTTCCAGCAGCTGGTCCTCACTGGGTCCCCATGGCTGAGCCCAGTGCAGCACATGGAGCTGGGCTACCTGTCCCCCATCCTGCAGATATGGAAACGAACCCAGAGAAAGCTATTACTTCTCCTAGTCCCACAGCAGGAAGAGGCCAAGTAGGGGCTGGAGCCCTTATCTGTCTGAGGCCTGCTTCTCCAGGGATCCATCCCACCCTCTCCTCATCAGACTTTGTGGGAGGCCAGGAGAGCCCAGGATGGGATTATCCCCGAGGCTAACAAGGGGGACCTCTGCTGGACAGCTTCCTTCTCCAGCCTGCACAGCCAGTCCTGGGGTTAGGGGGGAGGCAGTGATCATTCATTCATTCATTCATTCGTTCCTGCTGCAGAGTCTAAGACCAAGAGCAGTGGAAGGGCTCCCACTGGGGCATCTGGGAGCTCAAGTTCTACCCCTAAAGCCACCCAAGCTGTGCGGGGGCACCGGGGCATTCTGCTCACACACCCTGCTCCCCCATAGTGTTCAGCACTCTCCAAACTGAATGCAGAAGTGGCCTGTGTCGCCGTGCACGATGAGAGCGCCTTCGTGGTGGGCACCGACAAGGGGAGAATGTTCCTAAATGCGCGGAAGGAGCTGCAGTCAGACTTCCTCAGGTTCTGCCGTGAGTACCCCAGGGCTCTGCAGGGCCCGGGCCTGCCGTTCCCTGGAGACAGGCACCCTGGCCCTTCTCTGGGTGGCCCTATGTTGGGGATGAAGTGGACCGGATGGGGTTGTCTGAGCTTCTCTGTGTGGTGTAACTGAGGAGGCCACTGTTTTTGATGGAATCATTTAGCAGCCCCTGAGTTGATGGAGTCTGGCTGCTGAGCCCTCTAATTTACAGATGAGAACACTGAGGCCTGGATTTGCTGCCTGATTCTTCCTCATAACTCTGTGGAACCAACTGCACTTATTCCACTAAGGTTAACCCCTTTTGGTGGCCCCTTGAGTGCCTGCTGTGTGCTGCACCCTTTCTAAGGCTAACTCACTCATCTTGATGTCAGGCCTATGGGGCAGGCATTGTCATTGTCATTGCCATTGTTATCACCTTACCACAGCCTCATGGAGGCTCCTAGTGACTAAGGGACTAAGTACATGTCCAGTGCCAGGACAGCTGAGTAGGAAGTGCTGGAGCTGTTAGTGGTGTTGTGAGAAACAGTGGCCAGGCCACGTGCCAGGTACTTGGCTTCCCTGGCTGGCTCATGAAACAGTCACAGATCTGCAAATGAGCAACTGTAAGTGGCCTGTATCCCTTCCCCCGGGATGCACAGTTGGCAAGTGATGGGAGCAGGGCGGAAGCCAGGTGTCTTGGTCTGCCACCCATGCCCTTTCAACTACACTCCTTCAGAATCCCAGAGGAGCAGAACAGGCACTGGGAGGGGCCCCACTGGGGCATCACTCCCCCAAAAGACCACCCTTCCCTCTAGGGAGCCCCAAGGCAGAGGGGCCCCATCTCTCCACTGTTCCAGGACCTTCAGGGCTCCTCCTAACTCAACCTTTGATTCTGCACTTACCCCTGCTGGTGGCCCCTTGTACTCAGGCCAGCTAGGCCCGTGTGTTTCTCACCTTTCTGTCTTAGCCCCCAGTCCTCCCCCAGCTGGCCTCAGGCCTCAGCTCCCCTCCTCTGCCTGGCAGACACCTCCCAGCCTGCAGATGAGCATGCCTCCCAGCTAGGCCCCTCAGTGCCCTTCACACCTACCCCTGGGCTGTGGATGCTCCCCACACCTCTACAGCATCTGTGCCCTGAATCTCCCTAGGTCAGCCTCTCCTCTATGTTGAGTTAGGACCCAGCCTCAGCACTGAAGGTCAACACTTAGGCAGGCACTGGAGCCCACAGCTTTGGTCTCTATAACCATGGGATAGCATGGGGTTAAGAGAGCCAGAGTCAGACCACTTGGGTCTATATCCCGGCTCTGCCACCTGCTGCCTGCTGGGCCTCACCCTGCTCGTCCGTGAAAGGGGAAAACATGGGGTGGGTCTGAAGGTTCAACTGATTCACACCTGGCAAGCAATTAGAACTGTGTCTGGCACTTAGCTCATGCTCAATAGACACAGCTGTTGTCATTACTATTATTAGTATTCACATTATATCCCTGGATCAGCCACTCCAGGGAAGGGCACCCCTTGGTGCTGGGCATATCATTACTAGGGTATAGCCACTTCCCCACCAGCCCTACCCTGCTCAGCCTACCACCCTTCCTCAGAGCAGAGCTTGTACACTTCCTCTCCACGGCTGGGGCAGGGGGCTGGGCTGGTAAGATGGCCTTTCGCAAAGACCCGTGGCTCCCTAGCCTCCTAGGTGGGGCCAGGCTGGGGCCTGAGGAAGGTGCACCTGGCCTCCCAGAGCCAGGCAGAGCTGCTATTTATAACACCAGGAACTTGGCTGGTTTATTTCAAGCTTCACAGATCCCAGAGGAGAGCAGGCTCTAAATTGGGAGGGGGGCGCAGGGCTCTTCTCATCCCCTTTCCAAGATAGATGCAAGCACATTCTCCAAGGAATCACCAATACTCCCAGATCCCCAGCCTGGCAGGAACCTGCTCTTTGCAGCCCACAGCCTCTTAGTTAGGTCCCTATTTTTCCCATTCAGCAGAGCAGAAAACTGGGGCCCAGGCTGGTTGAGAGCACAGAGAGGGGTACACAAGACAGACATCCCACACCAGGTCTGAGCCAGGCCCGCTGACACAGACAGAGGCTCAGAGAGTGAAGGGACTTACCCAAGGTTATATAGCAAGTTAGAGGCGACCAGGGATGAGACCCAGGTCCTGTGCTAGGCACTGGGGACTCTGAGATGGCCAGCCCTGGCCCTTGGTAAGGGGTGGTTGGGATGGTTGGACAGGGCTTGCTGACTCATTAATCTTAAACTCATTCATTCGCTTGAGCACCATATTAGCTTCAGGTCTCAGCATAGGGCAGAGATATCCAAGCTTGAAGGTGGGGTGGTTGGACAGGTGCTCACAGTGGCCTTGTGTGCTCTTTGTCCACAGGAGGGCCCCCGTGGAAGGATCTGGAGGCAGAGCACCCCAGGAAGGTGCAGCGGGGCGAGGGTAGTGGCCGGAGCATCCCACAGTCCTCCCTGGAGCATGGCTCGGACGTGTACCTTCTGCGGAAGATGGTAGAGGAGGTGTTTGATGTTCTTTATAGTAAGATCCTTCCTCATTCCATTTGGGGCCCACAGGGTGGGTGGGAATCCCAGTCCCTGCCCAGTGGAGGAGGCCCCCCCTCCTGCCCTGCCATGGGGCCTACGCAAACCTGAGCCCCAAGGCAGGGGGCACTGGCTGCCCTCAGCCCTGTACCCCCAGCATGGCTGTTCCACCCCAGCCCCGTTTTCTGGCCCACTATATACCCTCCTGCCCCTGCCCTGGTCTAGTCACTGCTGTCCTCACCTGAAAATGGCTCCAGGCTCACTGTGACCTCCAGGCCAGCTCCCTGTGACCCCACCTGCCCTGTGACCAAGGGCATCTTCTAAAGTACAAAGTCTTCCCTCTATGGCCTTCGGGGGCTCTTGTCACCCTCAGAATGGACTCAACTCATCCATCCGTGCCCCACCCCCAGCCTTGTCTCTCTGCTTAGCACCACGGGCCCTCCTGACACGCCTCACAGAACCACTTCCTATCCTGCAGCACACTCTGGCTCATGTCACATGTTCTCACCTCAGCACTGCTGTGTCTTTTGGGACTGCCTTTCCCCTCTTCTGTCTGGAGAATACCCAAAGCTCACTCTGAGGCTCAGCTCTGGGAAGCCCCCTCCCATTGGTTTGGGCCTCTCTGGACACCTATAGTACCCTGTGTCCTCACTAGCCAGGAGCTCTCCAGGGCCAGCGACTGTTTCTATCCTTTCTGGCTGTCCCCAGTCTACATCTCAGGGCCCAGAAGCAGGAAGTAGGACGTGCTTGAAGAATGTTTGTTGAATGACTGAAAGCTAAGCGCTCAGTGAAGTTTTTCCTGTAGAGAGGAGAGGCCACCTGGCCTCCCTTGGGAAGTGTCAGGTTACAGAGTCATGGGGCCTCAGCAGTGGCTTTCACCAAGTGGCTTTTCACCCTTGGGCAGATCCCCGTGGTCCCTCACGCTCCCATCTCATTTATTTCTGACTTGCTGTAGCACTTCCCCTACTGCAGACTTTGGTTCTATGGAGCAGAGGTCTGTGAAAACTTCTGCTGGTCAGCTGTCAGGAGGAGGAGGCCTGGTGGGGCGAGGAGTCCAGAAGCTATGGGTGGCCATGCTGGTCACCTTGGGATTAGGGACACCTACTACGCATGGCCGGTTGTGTCTCTGTGGACGCTTTTGGTAGATACAGGGCTTTTGCCTGGAGTCCCCACACCCCTCCCAACCCACCCCAGCCACCCTTTCCCTCCTTGAGTAGAATCCTAGGTGGCCATGAGGGGACAGGCCTCTTTTTGCCCCTGAGTGGGGGCTGCCACTTTGGGTCACAACAGATGTCTCTGCGCTCAGGCCTCTAGGCCATCCCCCAGCCCTCAATCCCTGGCCTGTCCTCACTGCTCTGTCCCACCTACCCTGCTCCAAGTCTTCTTGGTCTGTCTGTCTGCTGTGTTTTTCTGAATTCCTTCCTTGCTCCTCTCCACTCCCTTTCTGGCTTTCTCTTGCCTCACCCTCTCTCTCTCTTTCTCCCTCTAGCTTTTTCCTCATGGCCTGATTCCTGCAAGCCCTGTCTTCTCTGTCTCTTGTTTTTTTTTTTTTTTT